CCCCCCTTCCCCCTTCGCAGTTCCTCTTGTTATCTGCTCCACTGTGTCTCCATGGCCTCTCTTCATTCAGCCCTATCCCTCCACGGACTCACAGCACACAACACAAAACAGTTCTGGCCTCTGTGAACGATCTCTATCAGCCCCACCGTTGTCCCTAGTTGTCTGCCACCGTCTGCTGCACCCTACTGGTTGGGCTTTGTTACTGCCACCAGCTGTGCGGCTGTTGGTCTGAGTGAAGCATTGAGAGCTGGACCGGATAGAAAAATTTATGACAAAGAAAAACTAAGAAGAATTTAGATTCTGTGAAAAGATTAAAGACAGGATGTACACAGTGCAAGGACTTTCCCTTTAGCGGACTCACAATAATGGCCCGTAGAGTGAAACACATCAAATACTTAGAGGGAAGGAAAAGGGAAACAAAGAATTCTTTTTAAGTTCAAGTTTAAGCCTTCTCACACATGGAGTTTACATTTCCTGCAGCTGTGATAGTGACAATGCCATGTATTGCATGTACTTTTGAGTTTGTTTTTGATACATTTTAAATACAAAACCATATGTGTTTCCCTATGCCAAAAATTTTTCAAATCAAAACTTAAACGTCAAGTTTTAAGGCGACATGTTTATCGGGGGTTAGGCCTGTTTCCTGGCAGAGATTTTCAATTCATCCAGTCACAACTGATATTAAGCAGAGGATAAGATAATGCACCAAGTCACGCACAAACACAAACTCTAATCTCCAACGATGCACAATGTCATAAAGATAAATTAGAAAGTTACTTTGTGGGATACTGTGATGGATTATGTAGCTAGGCCCGTTTTCATCTACAAATTGGTTTTCACGCGGCACTGAAGCATATTTTACTGGCAGCTAGAAGTATTAAAGTTTTTATTGTACAAGACAAATTCCTAATACCTCCAGATACTGAACTTAAAATCTATGAGATCATTTTATTAGAGGTACTATAGCGGTAGTAAATTCTGGGTTGGTGTGTTAAACATGTTCTGAAAGTTCTGAATTTTTCATTGTGAATTTTGCTTTCTTCAGTTCTACACAGTGTGTCAGCAGAGACATCTCCAGCTGTGCCGGCTGAAAAAAATCAAACCAAAAAATTCTCGCAGCGTCTCTGTACAGTTGACCAGACTCGCTTTAAATATTTATGCAGCAACACCTAAACCACAACATCGCATCTTCACACTCCATTTGCCCTGCAGTGTAAAATACTGCAGCCCCTCCATGCCACTAGAGCGCTAAATGCAAATAAAACCAGTGCACTTTGAGTCCACATTTAGACAAACGGTTGGAAAATGATAGAAAACAGTCACCACAAAATGATCAAATCCAAACGACGAGCCTGCCTCCTACATGCTATTATGAAGGTAATTAGGTTAAATGAACAATAGAAAGTTAATAATAGCATTTTTATAAATGATATGAGACTTTTGCTCATATTGCGATTTGTCATCATCATTATGATTGCTACCATCACACTGTGGCCAATGAAACTCTTTTGTAAAAAGCGAAAAACGAAATGCTTTGAAGAGGAGAGAAAGCAGGTGTAATGTAGCTATATCACTTTGCATAACGCAGACAGCATCTGTCTCGACTTGATCACACACACACACACACACACACACAAAGCACACTCTCCAAGTGCCCTCTCATCTCCCTGATCCAGTGTAATTAAGGCCCACAGCGATAGAGATTATTTTCTTTTTCTAACTAAAAGGAAACAAGAGAGAGATTAAGAAAGAATGAGGGTGAGAAAGATTGAAAGAGAGAACATGAAATAGATGTAGAGATAGAACACCCAGCAAGAGAAAGATATATATATACTTCAGATGAAGAAGTTATTTTTAAAAATACTGCTCCAGCACAGTTCAAGATGCATGAAGGTCATCCGTCCATCTTTCTCTCCACTTTCTCCATCAATACTCTCACTTCCCTGTTCTCTCTGTCTCTCATCCTGCCAGCCCCCCCTTTCTCTAATCTGCTGTTCAGTTTCTAAACCGCTGCAGATGTCTGGAATACTTCACACAGGCACACTGTCACCTCCAGCTGTCAATTTAACTCGGTGTGTGTGTGTGTGTGAGAGAGAGAGAGAGAGGGAGTAACTGATGGTCGTGTCAAGGAGTTATCAGAGTGTGTGTCAGCCCATGTGCTTGCTACAAATCACAGATTACATCAGTGTTTACACGTACCAACCAACGTCTGTTAGTGTGTGTGTGTGTGTGTGTGTGTGTAGCTGTATCTCGTGTCGCAGGATGAGCGCGGTGCCCATGAGTGTGTGCATGTTTGTGATTTTTTTTTGTCAGCGTGTTCACCAAGCACTCCATTGAGAAAGTGAGTGAGAGTTTCAGCTCCTCCTGCAGCATCAATAAAGCATCGCCATCACCTGTTTCGATAGATGGATGAGGAGAGAGGAGGGGGAGGAGGTGTGTGTGTGTGTGTTGTGTGTGTGTGTGTGTGTGCTGGCCGCTCTGAGGGGTGAAGGAGAGGGAGCGAGATGAGGGGAAGAATGATAAAAGATGTTTGGTGGAGGCAATTTAGTCGAAAGGGTGTTGATGGTTCAATAAGCCTCTCAGACAGAAATGATATGAGCCTGAGAGAGGGAGATATGGAGTTTCTTCTCAAGCCAGTTATCATCATAAAGGAAAACAGACATTTATCAAAATAAA